AGTCACGCTCTCAGAGTCAGGCACCCAATCGCAAGAACACAGTGTCAGCCATCTACCCACTCAGCCACCTCGTCTTCCACTAAAGTACTGTTCTGTTCTACTGAACATGGTGAATCCGACCGTTAGGGCCATGATCTCACCGAGTAAAAGGCAAGTCAGTAAATGGAATCTTAAGAATGTGCTTATGACATCAATCCTCCAAATACTGTAAAGTAATGTAACGATACCTCTTAAGTCTCTGCAAACTGCTCTAGCGACATCCAGATCGTATCCTATACTACATGTACAGAAACCAGCACTGCAACTTGTAGTCGGAAATGCAGCGCAGTCAGAGTCCCCTGAACATGAGCCATCGGCTGGAAAATAACCACAAGTTATACTAGGCCATTAGCACTGTTTAGAATATGGATCGAGTGTTTGGGCTCAAGCGTCACCGCTTATATATGACTGGTTAATTTCATTGAGATTTCAATCTCCAATACGATGTTGGTTGAGGTGAAAATCTGAAATACTTCTAAAATGTTACCTGTAGCTGTTGTTGACGTGTCGCTTGTTTGAACAGTGTTAGCTGTTGTTGAGGTGTCGCTTGTTTGAACAGTGTTACTGTTAGCTGTTGTTGAAGTATCGCTTGCTTGAGCAAAGTTACTGTTAGCTGTTGTTGAAGTGTCGCTTGCTTGAGCAAAGTTACTGTTAGCTGTTGTTGACGTGTCGCTTGCTTGAGCAAAGTAACTGTTAGCTGTTGTTGACGTGTCGCTTGTTTGAGCAGTGTTACTGTTAGCTGTTGTTGACGTGTCGCTTGCTTGAGCAGTGTTACTGTTAGCTGTTGTTGATGTGTCGCTTGCTTGAGCAAAGTTACTGTTAGCTGTTGTTGACGTGTCGCTTGCTTGAGCAAAGTTACTGTTAGCTGTTGTTGACGTGTCGCTTGTTTGAACAAGGTTATTGTTAGCTGTTGTTGAAGAATCGCTAGCTTGAACGAGGTTATTGTTTGCTGTTGTGGGAGTGACAGTTGCTTGAACAAGGGTATTGTTCGTTGTTGTGGAAGTCTCGATGGTTTGAACGGTGTCCTGACTAGTATGGGTGGTGGAAGCCTCGCTACTAACTTCAGGGTCACCGGCAGTAGTGATGGAAAGGACACTTGAAACAGTATATATAGGCTGGTCAGTTGGATCGGCCGGCAGGCATATGTGTGATGTAGATCCCGTCACTGGGACACAGATGTCCTCGACAGTGCAAGGATGATCTGAACAAGGATGAGCCTGTTGGAGTAGCAGAGCAATGAATCATAATTAGATCTCAGTATAGCTGATGCTCACCTTCTTTCTGAAGCACAATTTTACATTTGTAGGTTTGTGATGCTACACCAGCACCTTTCTTACTGCATTAGGTGGCTTGTGATATTCGAGTGAGTATGGTTTTGCGCCGCTCTTAGCAATATCCCAGCAATATCACAGCAGGAGACACCAGAAATGGGCTTCACACATTGTACCCATGTGGGTAATCGGACCCGGGTCTTCGGCGTGACGAGCGGGCGCTTTAACTACTAGTCTACCTCGCCGCCCCTGTGAATATTCGAGCCAGACAAACCACTGGCTGAGTTTATTATCAATGTCTCACGAATATGGATATTCTACTGTCAGTCCATCAATTCATTATTACCTCAAAACGTTTGATTCATAAAGTTTTGTAGCTTCTCTTATTTTTTATTTGTATCAACTGACCACGAAACAAAACCAAGATAAATTGTTGATATCCATGATTGTTATTATTCAGAGATAACTTGATATAACCACTATAGATATGTACAACATTATGCACAAATGTGAACGGCATTAATATAAGCCATTTAGGCTTGTTTGCCAATCCTTTTCCTTCTTCCTGAATAGAATAACATATGTTTAAACCAATGTCCCACGCCGTCGAAGTACGATCGAAATCACCCCAAGTCATTGAGTCTGACCACACGTTCCTAATGAGTCGTTTCTTACCACACCTTGCCAGTGTAGATGGTTTATCCTCAACTCGAGGTCATGCTCCGGTGGAGTGGACCATTAGTGAACTGGTGTTTTACATTAAAAACATATCTTGTGCGGAAAGGAGGGAAAATACAACACTCAAGAACAAAATCCGTTTTCTTTGTGCTTTACCGTGCACTTGACGTGTTTTCAGTACAGTGAGTTCTTGAGAAGGACATCTGAAGCGAAGGCATTACCTTTGCGCGCATTGTTCTAACTCTTATGGCTATTGTGTGGAAACACTACGTACACTTATTAATCTTAACTATTGTTGCATGTAAAATTGTTCCTCAATGGCACATTAACGAGGGAAAGGATCCACCCACCAGAAAGGAAAGGACCTACAAGTATCTATTCCAGTGAAGATCCGGCTTCAAATTGGGCTTCAAATCCATACAGTAAACCCAAGCGGGAAAGGATTTTCAATCTCTCTTGCACTCAGCAATATTCCAGCTTATATGGCGGCGGTCTGTAAATAATCGAGTCTGGACAAGACCCATATAGCTGGAATATTGCTGAGTGTGGCGTTAAACAACAAACAAGCATAATGTCAAATCATCCCCAAAGGCGCTTCGGTAACCAAGTGATTGGGGAGCTTGCTCCGTCACAACGAAGGCGAAGTGTGACGCTAAAATATATGTGATGTAAACTATTATTCTGGACAGTCATTTGGTTACAGTGAATGTCATTCGTATTCCTGTATCGCAAGGTCAATAGCATTTTTACAGTAACAGAGTTACTTTCTATGCCACCATTTAACCGATTCGTAATGATTTACCTTAAAGGCGCACCATTACACTAATAATATAAGGGTGACGCTATTTTTCAGGGCATTATCATTTGCAGCAGCAGTCTTTCATTAACCGCTCGAAAAAGGAAAGCAGTTGAAAAGACCGAGGGCTTCTGCAATTGCGTAGATCGATGCTCATGATAATGATGACTGGATTGTCTGGTCCAGACTCGATTATTTACAGTTTGCCGCCATATAGCTGGAATATTGCTGAGTGCGGCTTTAAACAACAAACAATTAATCAATCCTTTTTGAAAGTCACTCATGGGACACTGCTGTACTGAAATTAACTTTAAAAGCGACAGGTGATCTTACTGTTCCAGAAATATTTCACCTAAGTTATTTCAATCACAAATTAAAATAACCTGAAAATGGGATAGCTATCGATAATTTGAATTACAAGTATTTAGACCAAATGAACATAATAATACCGAAACCTACTGAACAAATATGATCACTAATTATTCTTGTATAACAATCAACGATATGAGAGGCAGATGTCCGAGTGACATTTAACGAGTATCATTCTTACCTGTAAAGGATTGACGTGAACAGCCAGGTAAATATTAGAGTGAGATACCTGTAAAGATTGTTCGTCACCACCACGTGAATTCAGTTGACATTCTTTAGCCCTTGTGATCCAGTTTGCCGAAACACATCTTGATGAATAGAGGCACAGCCTGCGGCATTGTATCAGGGTCGTCTTGGAAAACACTTCAAATACTGCACCATTGAGGATTTTATCTTGAACAGCATTATCTGATAACAGTCCCAGTTTATCACTCTTACACGTGGTGAAACAATATGAAATAAATACCAATGTTACGATAACAACTGTACCCATTTCTTCAGAGCCTGGAGTAAAGTCTCTTCTGGCTGATGCCGGGCGAAGCGTTAAAGCAATGATGAGATACTAAAAGCGTTTTGATCAGTCCCGCATGTATTAATCAATAGTAAGTATCAAACAGCGCAGGAGTTGAGAAGAAAGGGGACCGTCCAACACCTGCCGTCAGCACTATTCATGAGGTCTGCTCTTATGACAAACATGACGTTAATGGATGTTTTTGAAGATCGAAGATAACTCTGCTTGAATAGGCGAGGGAGCGTGTTATTCATCAAGCTGTAACAGACCTGTGAAGATCCGGGTTAGAATTGATCTTCAGTAACCCATAAGAGGCGACTAACGAGAGTGGTCAGGCTCTCTGATTTGGTTGACACATGTAATCATATACCCTATTCCGTAGATCGATGTTCATGCTGTTGATCACTGAATTGTCTGGTTTCTTTTTTGACTCAGTATATGTTAGGGGGAGCATAATTAAGTTCCATGTGTACATATGACTGCAGTTATAAAATAATCGAATACGGACAGTTATTAATGTCATCAGCATCGAACCATGCTTTAGTGATTCAGTGACATGCTGCAGCCAAGTCAGCAAGACTGATCATCATGTCCAAATACTCGCCTCTCTCGACTAGCATGGGCTGTTCAAAACCAATGTTGATATTAATGTTTATGACAGAACGAAGTTTGGATGTTTGAATGTTTCGTTAAGGTGATCTCAGTCCAACTGCGTTGCTTCTCACCCGACTTTTCGATCTCGTTTTCTGTATTGGGACATATCCATAAATCAATGACGCGTTCCTGATACATGTGATTAAAACTTTATGTTTGCATTGTTGAATTGCTATAATTGATATCGATTATAAAGGAAAAGTCTTTGTTATGGATTTAACAACGAGAATATTAATTATATTCCTTTTGTTCATGTTTCAAAGCAAACCATGTTCTGTGAAGCAGTTAAAACAAATTGATGGCAAAGTTCCATCACAGCAGTTATAACTAATTACCATACCCATTTCTAAGACGTTCCACAAAACATTTAGGGCAATTAAAGGAAGAAGGGTAAGAAAACTGCTATCACGCAAGGTCGCAATGACGATTGAGATGACGATGAACACGAGGGCTTAAGAAACATCAATAAGTAAATAAAATGTTGTCATATTTGATTAAACCTAAGTATTTACATTGGTAATTGTCAAGGATTTTTTCCATTCTCTTTAAGGTCACTGGGGTGTCATACATAATGAGTTTCACATGAGAACACTATTGACTCAGAACCCTGGGCTGAGATATTATTTACTATTCTTCAATTTAAAGTAATCAATATACAGTGTATTTGGATATTTGTAGGGTCATCCATGTGACAATCAGCCATGCAGTGCCAATGACATGTGCATCCCCGTCAACACAGCTAAAGGACATATATGTGTACGTGTTGCTGCGTTCATACCTCAAACTACTGTCGCGAGAATGACACCAAAGACCGCAACAACCACAACCACTGCAGCAACCACATATGCCGCACCTCCAACTACACTTGAAGTGACTACTACCACGACAACAACTCACATGTCAGCTTCAACAACTTTAAATGGGACTACAACATCTGCTGAACCGACTACATCAGCTCCAACCTCAACTTCAGCTGCCACAATGACAACTGCTCCATGTATGTATGTGTCAGAGTAGTGTTCAGTAGTGTGGCGGAAGCAGCAATAATATATCACCAACAGTTTTTTGGACGCTGCCAATAGGAGCTTAAGGTATTAGAAATTGGAACGTACGCTGTAAATGTGAAAAATATATGGAACATTTCTATTCTTAGAACCTAAAAACAATTTCAGGAGTGCTTTACCTGTAATCTACTTCTGTGTTTTGCAGATAACGGTACATGTGTAACGGACATCGACTGTGCTGTTCCTCCTGGACGGACTTGCTCTCGTGGTGTCTGCATATGTTCCATCGGATACGGCATGGGTGAGATCAGCGTTGAGTGCAGAAGACTAACAGGTAAATCAACGCAATAACAATGACCTTCCTACATTTATGACCCTCGTACGGCAGCACTATTCATCAACATTTGCATGTTGCATTAAACAAATGGGTTACCATAGTTATACATAAGGTTTTGTCGCTTTATTTAATTAATAAACGTCAATCTCTATTTCCTAGGGTATCACTATGCATAGTTTCGAAAGGGCGAGTGAGTTTCCATTTGTGATTTTTAATTTATGTTTAGAAACATACATTTGGAAATATAAGGTGAACAGCTGGTAATAATTCAGTGAAGTCGTTTTGACGTTTTTTTCTATAATTATGTTCTTAGTAATACGAAATCCTTCCAAAGGGGCACGAGTCGCTATTCGGCTTGTCCCAGAATAACACTTGATAATTTCGGTTAAGATCCAACTAACGTCCAAATAGTGTTATTGCATGACGACTGCTCAGGCAGATATTCTAAACTTTGTTTCAGAATGCACATCATTTGGATTGGAGTTCACTCTCCACGTGGACAAGGGAATCTATATGCATGACTTTAAGTACATTAACTCCAAGACATCTGCAGAATGTGCCCAGCTGTGTTTGCATTCAGACACAGTGTGCAAATCTTTTGAAACATTCCGTAATACATGCTTCCTGCAGAAAGTCACGTGGTTTGATGTCCACGATGATGATCACAGGGACAATAAAGGAGAAGAACATTACCAGCGTAGATGTAACTGGTGATACAGGGCCAATATTACAAACTCAAAGTGAGTATTAATTCCAAAATTTAGAATGGATATAAAAGAATGCTATCCAATATCAATTACATTTGATTCCTTTGAGTCCACAGATTTCTTTATGTTTGTTTTCTGTTTGATTAGCCTGTATTCTGACGTATTATGTAGGCTGGATGTATAAATGTTTTCCCACGATTTGAAAGATTGTCTGAGACACAAGCAAAGCTAAAGTGACTGTTGACCTGAAAACAAATAGGAATGCCCGGCACGTGTCACACATGTTCTTGGGAATTGTATCAGACATGATGGTTGTTTCTATTATGTCCTCGACATGTCAACTATAAACCTCTTGGTCAAAGGCATGGCATGTTTATAGCCTTATCAAACACCTTTGCATGACGCTTTTTGATATCTTCGTTTCTAAGACATTCACTGTTTTAAATCAAATCAAACAACTTCATACGACTCCATCTCAAAACTAATGAACTGTTGATATGAAAGGAATTTTGACTGCTTGAACATAGAGAATTGTAAGTTAACCTCATACAGTCTTGCCCATATTTCTTTTTCACACAAAATCTTTAAGAAACGCAGTAGTTGTCTCTAGTTTGGTCACTGATGCGCAAAGCACATGATGGATATTCTTCAAAGCTAGAAACATGCATACATAATTTGCAAAATGGGAGTGTGCACATGAACAAAAAGAGTAATTTGCTGGACACAGTAAATGATCCAAGTCACGGCGGAAATTGAATTCTCTGAAACGGTGCAGATACCATTTGAGTTTTTCAAAAGACACCTCAGTCCACGCATGAGAAAGCACGAAGCCATGCAAGACTTGAAGACAGAGGACAGAGGACCGTAATGGCCGCAGCCTAATTCGACTGGATATACCATGACCCATGCAGAAGAAGTACACCAGCAATGGGGAGTGGGACTCCGACTCTCCACCAGTACCATCAGAAGGCCGCAGGAAGCTGGTTTGAGGGTATGTCATCCCATCAGACGTCCTTTCCTCACCGTTAAGCAAAGACAGGAACGTTTGGCTCTGAGAGAACAGCAAGTTGACGACATTGCGTAGGATTCATTGGTTATATCGTTGTGGTGATTAGGGAAACTGTCAACAATTTTCGTAAATCCAGATTCAAAATGTAATACATTTATGCAACACACGAACGTTTCTGATGCTGAAAGTAACTTTGGAGATCCCGCTGGAAAACTCATCAAAGGTTAGGTGATATGACTCTTTTTGGATCAGAAATAGTCTGCCGATAAATCTAAATAAACTTCTACAAATGTTTTCCGTGGAACTGGAAGAGCCCTGTATGCAACTGCTCAGTGATCTCCCCTGTTAACTTTTCTGGTATATTTATCTACTTAACAATGTCGCATTCACATTGTATTTGCTGTACCTACACTGTCAGTGTTACCGTTTCCTATTTTGTCGGATGACTCGCGCTTAAAAGCTAATATACTCGTTTAACCCTATAACCGACGTTAAATAAATATTCTCCTATCTTGTCTCTTATATTTTTTACTCCAGAAAGGAAAGTCGCAATTTCTTGTTGCCATGAGACCGCTGTGTTTGATCTGTGACATCCACAGACTACCGTGTACTTCAAACATCAATTATATTTGTTTCTATGTATCTGTGCAAACACAAAATATGTATGCTCACTGTCAAATGACCTGTGAAGATCCGGGTCAGAATTGTTTTTCACCAACCCATGCTTTTCGTAAGAAGTCAGGTGGTCAGGCTAGCTGACTTGGTTGACACATGTCATTGTATCTCAGTGCGTAGATCAATGCTCATGTTGTTGATCACTGGATTATCTGGTTCAGACTTGATTATTTACAGACCGCCGCCATATAGCTGCAATAATGCTGAGTGCGGCGTAAAACTAAACTCACCAACTCACTCAAGCTGTAACAATACTTATTTGGCCCATAATGTTAAAGTTTCCTAAAATATCAGACACACTCATACTCACGTGCATGTACGTCGCTGTATATACTGGCTTTTGTTACTAAGTACGGTTTTACGGCTTTTGGCACTGTTAAAACTGTTATTAACAACAGCATATCTCCGATGGCTGGGTTCCAACCTCATGTTTTCAAAACGCAGAGACGCAATATATCGATGAAACTTGGAAATTCTCTGATGATAAGACAGTAGCATGAATGTAAACTTTTGTCCTATATCAGCACAGTTTAAAAACGGCGAACATTAACATTCAGAATGCCACGGTTGACCAACGCCAGCAGGAAGCAAGGCTGTCATTCACATTCACAATGCCACGGTCGACAAACGCCAGCAGGAAGCAAGGCTGTCATTCACATTCACAATGCCACAGTTGACAAACGCCAGCAGGAAGCAAGGCTGTCATTCACATTCACAATGCCACAGTTGACAAACGCCAGCAGGAAGCAAGGCTGTCATTCACATTCACAATGCCACAGTTGACAAACGCCAGCAGGAAGCAAGGCTATCATTCACATTCACAATGCCACGGTTGACAAACGCCAGCAGGAAGCAAGACTGCCATTCACATTCACAATGCCACAGTTGACAAACGCCAGCAGGAAGCAAGGCTATCATTCATATTCACAATGCCACAGTTTACAATCGCCAGCAGGAAGCAAGGCTGCCATTCATATTCACAATGCCACAGTTGACCAAAGCCAGCAGTTAGCAAGGCTGTTATTAACCTTCACAATGCCACTGTTGACAAACACCAGCAGGAAGCAAGGCTATCATTCACATTCACAATGCCACAGTTGACAAAACGCCAGCAGGAAGCAAGGCTATCATTCAAGCAAGACTGTCATTCACATTCACAATGTCACAGTTGACAAACGCCAGCAGGAAGCAAGGCTATCATTCACATTCACAACAAGTGACCAGCAGCAAGGCTGACAAACAAACGCCAGCAGGAAGCAAGGCTATTATTCACATTCACAATGCCACAGTTTACAAACGCCAGCGGGAAGCAAGGCTGTCATTCATATTCACAATGCCACAGTTGACAAACGCCAGCAGGAAGCAATGCTGGCATTCACATTCACAATGCCACAGTTTATGCCACGGTTGACTAAAGGCAGTAGGAAGAAAGGCTAGCATTCACATTCACATTGCCACTATTGACCAACGCCAGCTGGAAGTGAGTGAGTTAAGATTTATAGTCACATCGGCAATATTTCAGCCATATCTAGTAAAACAACTAGATTATCACAGATACAAACGTAAAACCAGTAATCAAATCTAAAACATTTTAACTACAGAGGACAACACAATATACAATCAGGCTGTAGATCGCCAACAACTGAAGGTAGATCACCATACTAAGGACCATGGGGACTCACAGTGCCTTTGCTACCTGCATGGACCCTAGTTGGATCTACACCATCCCTTTAGCCGCTGGTGATTGTAGGAAACTTTTGTCGAATTTTAAAAGAACATAAAATACTACGTTTAAAAATCTGGTAAGTTTAAATTTAACTTTGAGAGTTTGGGGACTTACGTATCCTCTCAGGAGGACAGTAATTTTACCACACTTTAACCCCCTTTGAGGGTACAGCCACTAACAATCGCAGTTGCTAATTTATACTACCACGTTTAAAATACCATTTATCTATTTACAAAACGTATGATTCAAAAGTTATCTAATAATTCTATCTCCTTTAAAAATTCAATTATTAAATGATGATTAACATAAAAAAGATCTTTAACTGTTTTGATATTGAAATCTTTATCCCTAGTGATGGAAAAATGAATACAGTCAAGCCAGCCGGAAGCAAGGCTCTCATTCACATTCACATTACCACGGTACCATAAAGTTAAAAAGCCGTTGCTATTGTCCTGATAAGCGTTATTCCTGCCTCTCAGTATAAGTGATGTAAACTTCATTGAACTCGACGTTAAATCACATTACACATTACATCACCAAGAAGCATTTTTTGTTGTTGTTTGTTTCTTCTTTTTAATGCTTTGAATTTGAAGAATACATGACATAAATACATAAAAAACTGCACTTATCTTAAAGAACACCATTGGTCAGAAATTGAGACGGATTGAAATTGCTTTGTCCATGAATAATTCCATTCGTGCCCGTTGTCATTTACTTGCCTCATTTACACGCAAGACCACGTTATGACTGACTGACTGAGTTTGGATTTACGCCGCTTTTAGCAATATTCCAGCAACATCACGGTGGGGGACACCAGAAAGACCACGTTATGACTGACTGACTGAGTTTGGATTTACGCCGCTTTCGCAATATTCAAGCAACATTACAGCGGGGGACACCATAAAGACCACGTTATGAGGCACCACCACCTTATGATCTCTGTGCAACCAATCGCTTGATTTGTCGAATGCCTACCAACACAACAGATATTAATCAGCTTTGTGGTAAACGTGATATTGCTGGCATATTGCGTAAACAGTTTCTCAGTCACTCCACTCACTCACTTATTCTGGGCATGAACGCTACACCAAATCCTTTTCATATAAGTCTGGTACTGTATGCAATGTTTTTACTCCCACGCAAAGACTCGGTCAGTCTCCTCCCAGGAAATTGTCTTACATGAATAACTCGCCAACTCCGCGGAGACCAAGTCTCGAACATATCCGAGCAGTTTATCACTAATATGCATCTGGTACCACGGTGATATAGTGAGTGAGTTTAGTTTTACGCCGCATCTAGTAATATCCCAGAATATCACGGCGGGGGACACCAGAAATGGTCTTCACACATTGCACCCATGCGGGGAATCGAACCCGGGTCTTTGGCGTGACGGGCGAACGCTTAAACACAAGGCTACCCCACCGCCCCCACAGTGATATAGTAGGTATATATGACTGACTGCGGCATAAAAGAACACATATACAAACCAGTTTAATGATGTAGGGGGAAGCTAGCGTTGAAATAAGTGAAATTTTAAAGCATATTCACAAGTGGTAATGAGTAAGTAGTGCCAAATATCACTACAATTAAATTAATGATCAAACTCTATAAAGATCATATTATCTTCTCAGATATATTGAGTAGGTCCGATGTGTTATATATTTTGGTCAGGTTTGTTTTATTGTAAAGGAGTAATTAACGATGTGTACGTTGTACTGCAGTTTGTTACTGGCATTTAATACATGCACGCCTTATTCTATTCGCCATATCGCTGCACTATTGCCGATGCGATTTAAAGATTGCAATCCAGCCGCGCATTAAATCCATCATATATAAAGAGTCAGGAAACATTAAAGAAAACGGAAATGGCCATGTGAAAACAGTTTATTCGGGATAAACATTCAAAGGTAACAACGACACGCTTTGTATGAATTGATAGTCAAATGGTACACAGTTCAAGTATTCAAATGGTTACAAATTTGTACATTCAAGAATGTATTATTGTGCAAACATGTCGCTAATGAACTTTCAAACATGTTGATGCCAAATACGTAATAACCATTG